GCTTTGGGCGAGATGTCCCAACTGGTTAGAGCGCGAATTCATTGACCGGATCAACCTTCAGCTAGGCACCGAAAGTGTGCTACAGCTGGACGATTCGGTTTCTCACCTGCTCCAGGACCATTCGTTACTTGAGGTTCGAAAATGGAGTTGTACAATTATCTACGGTTGCCGGTTGTGGTGTACATTCCCGAGTTACCGTATGGAATTTACAAGCCTTGGGGAGCCCAGCAATCCTACTGAAAAGGGCATTTCCAAACCGGCTAATCAGATGTGATAAAGTGAACTCCCTCGCAAGCCAAAGCCAATTAGGGTCGGTGATTGGATGACAGTTTTTGAACTGAGATTGTAGTTCAAATCCCAAATGACGCTCTGATGTGAATAAAATCTTTTATTTCCAGTGCAGTTCGGATAGCTTGCAATGCGTTTTTTTTCGGAAAGTCAATGATTGTAGAATGGTAGACATTCAAGTGCGAATACGGGCTTCAAGAAAAAATTGGCATCCCTTCCCCCCAGTGATAAAGTCAATAAACCAATTCCAACACATTACCATCAATAAACTATAGGATCCAATTGCGAATACGGGCTTCAAGAAAAAATTGGCATCTCAACCCTCCAAGGGATAAAGTCAATAAACCAATTCCAACACATTACCATCAATAAACCATAGGATTCCGTGAACAACCTAATCGACATCGGGAGATCTGACCAAACTGGTAGTTCTTTATGGGCTGGGATAAGTTGTGAAATGATGATGCAAAGGTTTCCGGAATTAGTAATCATATCCCGTTCTCTCCCCAGTCCGTTTGTGTCCGACTTGGTATGAACGATGCGATCTGTGACCAATAGAGATTATACCTTGGTCGGTTCCGACTATCGTTTCTCCACATTGCCGAAACTACCCGAACTGTCAGATATTTCCGCTAAATATGGAGTGAGTAGTGGCGACAGAGTCTGGCAGTAACTTGTCGGGTGCTGTATCCCGTATTCACAAGAATCAACCAATATGTCGGAAGTAGACCATCGGCTCAAGGGACTCAACTAAGGTGCGCAACGTCCTGTTTAAGTAAACAAACACCGTTTGCTCACACCTTCGAGACGGGAAATGACCCGTCCGTTTTTTCTGGTAGTTCGATTCGGGGACAGCGCCGGAAATTGCCTCCTGCGACCACGATCTTACGGATCGAACTGCATTATTGTCAGCCCTGGTTCTAGGGTAAATACCGTTCAGTGTGAAGTTACTCATTAGAAAATAAGGACTAAGCGGTCACAAGCCGCAAGATACGAAAGTAGTAAATGTCTCGTCTGCGCAGTTTCCGAAAAATCGAGGACTTTTCTGAACTTTTATTGGATACTGAATACTGCAATGCGGTTCCCTAATTTCCGTAGTAAACTTCACTTTCCACCACACACGAGCCTGGCACTAAGCTACTCACATGCCTCATCAGTAGTATATGCTAATTGATCATGAGTCCGCCCCCTCGAGTATTGTGTTGGGCATGAAAGCAACTGTTCGGACATGGTGAGGTTCCACGATTAAGATTGTCCTTGTTTGTCCCCAACCGCCACCCACCTCCATGGCATCATGCCCTATAGTTTTTCGTGCTCTTGGCGATACATTCTTGTTAATTTTGAGGTTCGTTCTCAGTGGCAGTCCTCACTGACTGGCTGAAATGGTTCTCCGTTCGTCAGCCGAGCATAGGTGACCAGATAGCGCTGTTACAAATTACTGTTGGACAGCCCACAGCCGGTTCTACCCTTCTTGGGGCTCGTCAGGTGGGCACAGCCCGCCGAGTATCCGTCAATTTTATGTACTGCTTGAAGAACGGAATTCGCCCCCCCCCCACAGGAGACTCAAATGAGTTTTCCCTTGGTGATGCCTTTTGCCTTACCTTATTGGGTTTTTCGGTAGGAATCAAGAAAAAACGGTCAAATTTCCCGTTAACTGACAGCTAGTGCAAAGTAAAATTAGCGCTGAACTCCCGTTTTGTGGAACCATAACGACCTGGAAAGAAACCTCTGCCTTGGGAACACATCGTGGAGGGAAATGGCTTCAGAATTTCACGTCCTTCGTATTTCGAAGACATTATCCCCCTCTCTAGAAAATTCAAAAGTCTCTTCTTCATGGTCATACCTTTTATGATAAAGAAGGACTTATCGTCATGCACTTTGTTTGTGATCCTGGTCTTGTTTTCAGTTCAGTTTTCCCGCTCATGAACCATGCACCAGTGGTTCCAGCTGCTACAGCTTCTTTCATAGAAGGTAAGAAGGACAAGGGAAGGAGAGCCGCAAGTTGGAGGCAATGCCGTATTGACGACGAGTGAATCTGTTTGTCCAGGGCGACAAAAGGTGAAAGCCATGAAGTGAAAGCGATAGCTTTGATACAGGAAAGTCATTGGTTTCGTGACTTATTCATGGCAGGTAATGTTTTGTTAGCTCGGATGCATTAGTTGGTAATTGATCAGTTGGCTGTTGATCTGTTCGCCGAGCTTGGCGACTGATTTGCAAACGTTTTGTCACCATTCGATGAGACATCTTCAGTGAGCTGTTGGTTGGGTAGTCCTTCTCTTCGTGCCTGCGTTTATATGGTTGACAAAGAGCAGTTTTTGGGCTATAGCCTGATTGGCCATTGACTATCATCGGACTTGGATTCTGATTGGTCCGACCATAATCTGTGTTGCGTTGTGCAACACAAAGAGAACAAACACTACCGAGGAGCTGGAAGACGAAGAATCTGATTCACAGCCAAATGGCTGGTTGATTGCAGATTAGCCAGTAGATCTCAGCCTTGGGTTCAATGGTCAGGTTACCATATCTTGAAGGGGCATTTAATTGAGTTCATTTGACACGCAAAGTTTATCAAAACCTCGGGACCTAGTGAGCCTTAAAAAGAACGGAAACGGCAGCAGGTGGCTGATGAATTTTCAACAGCTTTACGAGTAGTGTGTTTTGACTATTCACTATTCGAAGCTACTGAGTTGAATGGGAGCGTTGACGGGTAACTCAGCTGCAATTTACTTCACTCACAGTGTTCTTAATTGGCAACTGGGTGTCCATTGCAGTGTATGTGCCATTTAGTGTTCAACTAAGGAATGAGAATGATGTAGAATCAAAAAAATAAAATAAAAATAATTCAGATGGAACACCACTTCGGTGTCTAGCTGCCATGTTACCCGAAGGGAACACGAAGGCCAGGTTGACCAAGCCTAGACAGGGGAAGTCGAGAGGCAGAGGTCGGGTTCGAACCTCGGACATACCGGCCAGTAAAGTCAACCCCGATGTTGAATCAGGGATTAGGCCTACCGGACGAGTCCAGGAGGAGAACGAAACTGGTCCTGCATTGTCTAGAGGTTCCACCGACACCATGAACAGAGTTGTTTCCAACAGCCTTTGGAGTTTACTCTCTGAGTAAGCAGCATGTCGGAGTGAGGATCTCATCACTGCTCTGAACTGAAACGTCGCAGTAACCCGAGTAATCTTTGTTCACCAGTCGTGAGTAGTTCGACAGATAGCGAGAAAGCCCCATGCTTAGAGTGCGAATTTACTGTTCGGAAGGTCTGTGGTTCGAACCCGACCTCCGCCTCTCGACTTCTCCTGTCTAGGTTTGGGAAACCTGGTAGTATCCCGACCCTCGTGCTTCCTTCGGATGAAATAGCAGCTAAGTGCCGACAGGATTCTACAGCTGAACGATTTGTGAGTAGTTCTAGCATAGATAGAATGATGTTGCCAGTCAAGCGGTGGGAACACTCGTGTGTCCAAACGGCAGATGTTCGACACTACATTGAAATGTGCATGCGGCGCGAGAAAGGTTGAGAAAGACTGTCCAATGAACGAAGTGATAGTCACTGAATTCATTGACGCATAGGACAAGGGTGTGAGGCCAAGATTAACTCAGGAAGTGATTTCATTTCACCGTCTTCATCGGACGTACAGATGTATCCTGCTAGTGTTGTTTTGCCCCAAAATCCGAAATTAGAGGCCAGAGCGATCCGTAATGGGTCATTGATCTTGCATGTGAAGGTTTCATCGGACGTACAGATGTATCCTACTAGTGTTGTTTTGCCCAAAAATCGGAAATTAGAGGCTAGAGCGTTCTGTAATGGGTCATTGATCTTGCATGTGAAGGGGCCAGAACGCGGTTCTCGTTCGTTTTTGTTGCTTTGTGGACTGTCTTGGTCCCATGCAACATTAACAGCACAAAATGCTCGTTCTCAAGCAGATACTGTTCACTTAAGCGCAGTTTGTAGGCGGAAAGTGTTTCTCAGATTGCGGGAGAAACTCACCAGCCAGTTGTACCAAATGCATCTGACAGTAGATTTGGAACGTGTTGAGAGCAACCATGCTTAAATGGACTGCATTCCAATGCACACACTCGGGCGATTTCTCCCTGGGGGCGACTCCAATGGTGTTCGCGCGCCTGAGAGAATTCACCGACAGTTTGTTAACTGTCAGGAAGGTCACGTACTTGAAAATAACATCAAAATGCCCGAAACCTACTGAGACCTCCCCAAAATCTCAATAGGGAAGCCGGCAAGCATCCAGGCAGGTCAATCACCCAATCAATTTAGCAGATGAGTGTTCAGACACACGACCGACTACCAAGAATGTTCGGGCATTTGATAGAAGCACGGTCGATGTTGATCGATGTTCACTTAGAACGGACAGGCTGGATCAATGTCAAAAAGTGCTTTTTGAATAGCGTGGGGCTGTTGTAGCTTTTGTACTCGCTTGTTTGCAACACGGCTGTTGTGTTCTTTGCCGGTGACTCTTTTTCGGTGTAGCACTTAGATATGACGCTAAGACGGTCATTTTTGAATGGTGTGGAGTAGAAATGTTTTGTTATACAGAAACTGTAGGCTGCGTACTTTGTGTGATCAGATGAGATGTCCCGAACTTTGTAACAACTGAAACGTGGGGCATCCTTTGTGCGGCACATTTAGTTGACGAATCGTCGTAAAAACATAAATCTTTCGGCTGTAGCACCTTTTCGGTGCTTAACTGCCATGCCACCAGAAGGAAGCATGAGGGCTGTGATACTTCCAGGTTGCCCAAGCCTAGAAAGCGGAAATCGAGAGGCAGAACTCAGGTTCGAACCACGGACGTTCCGGTCATTAAATTCGCGCTTGAGCTATCTTCACCGAGAGATTCAGCGGAGAACCATGTATGCAAATGAGTGTTTTTTTAGTTCTCATGCACTTTGGGTTTAATTAAAAACGTGAGGTTGATGTAGACTCGAGGACTGGGCCAATTCGATCGTGGGCTGTCCAAGAGTTTTCAGCAACCTCATGAAAATATACTGCCATCTAGAACAACATAGCAACTAAACTATAAGGCAGCCGTTGTGCACCACATTCAGTTGAAAGATAGTATAAACGAGTGATTCATCTTAGATTCAGGTAAGCTTCCCAGGAAAACCAATTTGGCATGCAAACAAGTGTGTTTGTCGCCCATTGAGACATGTTGAAGGTGGATGGGGCTTCAGAGTCTCAGCCTGGCTGCTTTGATAGGACAATACAATGTTACTGATTGAGGTTTAGTTACTTTGAAGGCAGAATTCTATGGAAGTCACTGGCCATTTTAGAATTTCCCCAATTTTCCTGGCCTTCACAAACGCTGCAACCTGGAGGCAATGCTCGCCAATGATCATGGACCCAAAAACAACATGGCGTCAAGCACAGACTTTGACCGTTTGTTCACAAATCCGGTCGGTTTGTGCAAGCAGGCCCTGATAATTCAAATCGCCCACCAAAAGTCCATGGGTTATTGATTTTTTTCATTTTGCAAAGCGACCTATCCACACAGTATCTCACCATTCGGAATAGCTCAAACATGTCCGCAAACGAAACTCTACCGTCCATGGCTGTACGAAGATTCAGTACCCTTCTGGAAGATGCCGAAGAGAGACGATTGGAAGCCAAAGTGGACAAGAACTTGGATAGATTTCGTCAAACCAGATGGGGCATATGGATGGACTTTGCAGAAACGACCACCTTACACGGACCCATTCACATTACAGCCACAAAGGGAAAACTGCGGATCTATTATATCATTGTTGTGGCCATGATGGCTGGAATGTTCTTTGCACACGCTGGTTACCTGTTCAAACAATTTCTAAGCTTTCCTGTGCTAACCGAAATAAAGTATGGTAATATCGATTTCACCTATCCGGACATTACAATATGCCCGAATGCCCCGTTTACTGATACGGAAATCGCGGAAAACGCGAAATTACACGCGACATTAAACGGTACGTTAAAGTTTTGGACAGAAGCACGCCGGGTGAACTTCGGATCACCAACTGCTCACGCCAAGAGGAGTTTTCTCTCGAGCTTTTACAGGTGGTCACATGAAATTGGGAAGAAACCACATCAACATGTTTTGGAATGTCAGGTTAGTCAAGGTCGGTCAAGTCAGGTTGGTTCAAGGTCGACGGAAACTCGAAGACTGCGCCTACCTGGTGGGCTGTCGAAGAGATTTCACCAAATTTTAAAGGCATTGTGTTAAGTCTAGACGACATTGTCCCGTTCCTCTTTTATTCTATGCTGACTTGATCGGTTTGACCCTTGTAACTAAATTAACAATGTTCGTCCAGCAGATTACACAAGGCCTTCGTAGGTAACTTTCCAGCCCAAAGTACTCACTTAAGCAATAAATAAACAGCTTACGAATTTTCTGAAAGTCTGGTAATAGGATGGGAAAACGTCATTTGAGTGAAGACATCCACTTTGTCATTTCTTCTACTGGCTCATATATATCGTTCAGCTGTAGCACCCTTTCGGTGCCTAAATGTCATGCCACCCGAAGGTTGCACGAGGGCTGGGATACTACCAGGTTGCCAAAGCCTAGACAGGGGAAGTCGAGAGGTAGAGGTCGGGTTCGAACCATGGACCATCCGGTCCAAACATTAGTCTGGCGAAAATCGCAAAGCAAGACCAACAAAACGCGTGCAAATTCGGGGAGTCACGTGGGACCAGTAACTGACCGTGCAGCCACGTGATACTCAGTATCCGAACAAAAATGTATGTACACAAAGCTGAGGAAGAAAGATTACAAGTGCTTCCTTGATAGAACGAGACTTGATCCCCATACTGCGACGTCCCGAATATCGTGACAGCTGAGCTATCAAGCAGTTCATTCATAAAAACGAGAGATTTAGCTGGGATTCCGGTGGGCTTCTCGCGAAAACCCAACTGGTGAGCAAACGAGTGTATTTCATACCATCTCGGTTCAGAGCTAATATAAGGTTGACGGTAACTCGAGGACTGTGTCTACCTGATGAACCCAGTAGGGTCGGAAAAGACCTATTATAGACTGTCGATGAGTTTTCATCAAGCTTATTAGTAGTGTTCTTGGAAGAAAATATACCACGATATCCCAAATGCTGCACCAACTCAGACTTGAAGAGACTGAAGAATACCATAAACGAGAGATTCAGTGGCGTACAGTAGCGCGGTAAGTTTCCGGTTTGGATTCCCCGAACGGCCTAATATTTAACGCAACCCTACACAAGCTACAAATTCATGTATAAAGCAATGATTCCGTAGATGAATGTACTTTTGCTAGCGAAGCGTATGTGGTTCTGTGATCTTTGATTCCTCACCTGGTGATTAAGCACAAGTTTACTTGAAAAAGATTTTTTTTACCATAGCTCACCTCCAAACAAACGGAACCATATGGTTTTTGTTCACGTGGTGAGAGATCGATCGGAAATCAAGCCCGCGATATTCTTGTTCCGAACAGCAGCCCTGAGACGCCTTATCCGCGAGAGAGAGAGGATTTGCTGATGTAGTTCGTCCTTCACGCCTCAAAATCCCCATAAATCAATGCGCTGTACCTTAACTGAGCTCCGACATGGCGTATTGACTGACAATTCGCTAGTCCTGTTTTGAGATCTCATACATCTCAACCCTCCTGGATGACTCACGTTGACACTTGGTAGTACTGAGTATTCCAATATATGGCCGTGTTATTAAACGTTCACCATGGCTAATTGATCCATTTTTTTGGTATGAGGGAACATCCATTCCACATTCAGGTATGGAAGATATTGCCTCATCGAAGGACAGCCAATCAGATGTGTGACTCACGTTTTCTCATATTCCATGCCTAAACATGAGTGTGGACAGAGTAACGCAACGTTTCGTAGTCCAAACTTCAGATCTTTGTCATCAAACTGTCGGGTTCTTCTGGCACAAAACCTAGTTGGTGACTGTTTTGACACAGAGGTCGAGAAGTGTCAGTAAGCATATCATCTACACAGTAATTTGAAGTGCACCGGAGTGTTTTCGGAATGAACAGACCACCGAGTGTCACCGAAGTCCTTCTCATGGATTCGCAGAGCCACTTTTATGTTATTTGGTGTTTTTGCTTCGGCTGCAACAGTCATGTAAGTTCTGGGGATTAAAACTGATCAGAATCGCAAGAAGGCACGTCTACCGAGATATTACCATGGTGAATGATTGTCACATTGGAATTGGAAGAGAAGAGCCTTGGCAACCACGTGTTTTCACCGGCTCATCTTCTGGCCGGTGCAGATCAAACGTAGGATGCAGCACAGGACAGGCCAAACGTCAAATGAATTTGGCGTGGGAGATAAGTCATGGTATGTGCTATCTCTAGATGAGAGAACACCGGGCCATCTCAGCTGGAGGGATTGAACAGGTCTTCAGGCGGTTTGCTACATTACGTAACTGGCAAGAGTAATCATGCGTGTAAACGGACAAACAGGCTGTCTATTTTCTATCAAATTTATTCTTTTTAGTTTAGTTACTGAACCGCCTAAAAGACTCATTCTTAGGTTTGGTACATGGTGTTGTGTACCACAGGCGGTGTTGTAACTCCTACATCGATCAGTCGCTTGCTGTCCCGCCTATTAGGGTACACCAGAGAGCACGCCAGCCTCAGACGGCGTTCAATGAAAACCGAGTCATCGCGGAATCTTTTCAAGGTCGAGCTAGGATCTTCGTGATAGGGCGAGATGCGCCGAGCTAAGAAATATTCGACCCTGATTGGCTCACAGTCCGACCAACCAGTGGATGCCATTTTTCGGCCTATGACCGGCCCTCCACATATCCGACTAGTCGACGAGCTGTTCGGCCCGCCGCCTGAAGCATAGCAACAACAATCAAAACCACTTGATAACATTCGAAGAAGTGGAGGGTTGTCTGAAATTGGTGTCATGCTAGACAGCTTTTGAGTCAACAGCTTTTGCGCTCACGAAAATGGTGTCATCAGCATGGTATTATTTCCTGAATCTTAGAATATAAGGTATTGTTTGCATAATTAAGTTTCTTCTCTAGAGTTTCGCCAGCGGAAAGTACGGTCCAGAGTTGCGGTAATTTTCTGTTTAATCCTACCATACCCCATATCAATCCATGCATGCCCAACAACCACGCATTCTCGACATCAAGACACTGATGTTGCCACCTCGACCGATGGTGAAACGTTTGCGACTTAATTGCCAATACATACGTGACACGCTACTCATATGGTCGATGAAAACTCGTCAACAGCCCATGACCAGTTTCACCCTTCTGGGGGTTCATCTGATAGGCACAGTCCCCGAGTTTCAGTCCACCATAATTGCATGAAATTCGACTTATACACTCAACTGTACCAATTCACTTTTAAGGGAAACTCACCCAGCTGGGTCTCCCGTTTATAATGTCATTCTCTAGCTGAGTGTGTTGCGCCAGGCCACCCCGTCTCACTCGCTAGGATATTCGAGATATTACAGCACGTTGTGTAAACGTAAGACACTGCTCAATAAGTTGCTCATAACTCTTCGAGCTCATCAGGTAGGTCACCTGTCTGGAGTCTCGTACCAATTAAAACGTGAGGCAGCCTTTGTGTCGCACAATCAGTTGAAGAAGAACATCATAAACAAGGGATTCAGCTGGGTTCAAGAAGAGTCTCTCGTGAAAAGCGAATTGGTATGCAGATGAAATATTAACTGAGCTACCAATGTTCTCTTCAATTTTGAACATCGTAGACAATAGTTTCAGCGAGAAAAATTCCACGCAACCGACTGTTTGGCAGTTACTATAGGACATTACAAAGCCAGTTAATGATGATGTTTCTTTGGCGTTCTTTGCAGGAGATATCGGGTGTTTTATGGTCACTGCCTCACATCATTTTGCCCAGGAATTCGAAGTAGACCTTATTACCTGTTTCTCTGTCTGCTACTGTCTTAGCTCGGAACATCAAGATGCCGCAGGTAGCAGTGGACGATTTTTGTCTGACAGCCAATAACGTACCAGTACACTAGCCCGGGATGACTTCGCGTGCTATTGATTCTATACAACTATTGTGTTTGACCAGAAATGGAGTGCGGTGACAACCAGGATAAGAACGGAACAGCGTGAGGGCTAGGAGGCTAGGCCTTATTTGGTCAAAACTCCAGCACTGTGAGCTGAAATGAGAAAAAAGTGGAGTAAATTGACAAAATCACACCTACCGTGAACTTCGTATAAGTAATCGCGGCTTAACCATCAATACTACCTCATGGTATCTGGTTCGTTCCCCAGTACGATCCTCTGGGCGTGGGCAAATAGGTATTCATTTACAAGTGTAAAATTGTTTGTTTGAATGATCGCAAAGGGCTGGGACAATACTCTACTGAGTCCTGTCGCCTGCGTTTTTCCATTGAAACTTTCTTACTAAAGCATGTACTACTTATTAAGTTAATCAGTAGTTAAAGAAAACGCCTAAAACCGTTCAGGAGGAATTCCGTTCCATCGTGTCCAATCAAGCACGCTGACACAGCTTGAGCAGAATTTTTTGCCGAAGCGTATAGAACAGTAACCCTGCAACAGAAGTATATGTGGCAGACAACGAGTAAGCAGCACAGTATAACTCATCCATTGGCAGTTGCATTGCTGTTCAGGAACAGACTGGGTTGCTATATGGTTAGGGTGTAAAACCCAACGGGAAAGCGGATAACTGCGCACTTTTACAGTGCATACAAATAGGGTCAGTAGAGGGTTAGGACTCCATAGAGGACGAGGCTGTACGTGTAATATGAGTGAAAAATTCTCTGTGAAGTATTGTATATATGGATCTAGCAGGCGCGCTGATTGGGCCGCGGATCAACGAATCAGCTGTTTAATATTAGCGGATATATTCAGCTGTACGTGTAATCTGAGTGAAAAATTCTCTGCGCGCTGATTGGGCCGCGGATCAACGGATCAGCTGTTTAATATTAGCGGATATATTCTAGGTATGAATTAACCGCAAACAATGGTCGCTAGGTAGTATGAGATGTTTTGCGAAGCTTTCGATGGAGTGAAGATGAGAAGCGTTATATAGAGGTTTCATTCTTATTGGGAATAAGCAGCAGTTCGCGTTACACGAAACTCCAGCAGGGAATCGCAAACCCCGCTAGCAGTTGTAACACAAGGGGCTGAACACCAGTGTGGTTAATTCGCACTTGGAAAGCATATGGCTTCACTCATTACTAAATCATGGAATCCAAATCACGTGGTTCCGCCAGGCAGCTCATCGTCATTATCATCATCGACCGCATGATATCGGTGTTCGACAACTGACGCTTTGCTGCCTTACAAACATGATTTATTTGAAAGCCTTCTGGTGAAGAACAAATAAAGGTGGACCGGGGAAGGGACTTAAAGCTAGTTTACTGCAATCATTTTAGGGTGCCTACACCTCCAGACATTCACTCAGGCAATCTGGATAGAAACTGACAACAGGAACGCCACTGACATCGAGTAGGGGACATATCTTTCGGCGTCTCCAACCAGGCTGAGTGAGGATCACGCGGTCCCCATTCTGGAAGGCGAGTAGCACCGACAACACCCAACTGTTTCGTGATCTCCTTCATACTCCTGTGCCAAGTCAAGGGCTGGCAACCTCTTTGTTTACGCCACTCTGAGTTGGGCATTGAAAACAGCACTCGTCGGCAAACAAAGGCTAGGCATACGCATCGTCCCAACCAACGCAGCTTTTGGTGTTGGACACATTCTTCAATGGGAAGTACCCTTGCACAACCCAAAACGCGCTTTCTAATTGCCCTATTACGGATTCACCGACACCAACCCGCACGAGCTATGGTTCTGAGACAACAATTGTCGAACACCTGAAGACATCTCAATTCCACTGCTCGAATAGGTCAAGTCTCACAGCCACACAACCAAACAATCCGCACCGTAGCTTGATACACAAGTCCCTTGCGATTCAGAGATACATCAGTTTGGCAGCATAGGTGCCTCAAATTAGCCTTGCATATTTGTGCATTCACCTCATCTGTCACACTACAATCAAGATACATGCAAGATACGTAAAACGTTCCACAACTTCGAAAGCTTCCTCTTGGATTGTAATTGACATGTTCAGTGACTGCAAGTCCATGGGTGCAGAGGACAGGATAACTTTGGTTAGCTCATCACTACTAACATCCAAGTTGAGCATGCTGTATATATATATATATATGCATATATGTATATAAATACCTTACCTGGATTATGCGAACTCTCATTGGGTCACTGAACCACAGTGACTTCAAACCCATCTCACACTGCGCGCCGCTCGCAGGCGCGCTCACCCTTCCGAGTTTTGCTAACCTCAGTAGTAACAATCATAGCAATAAGAATAGGAAAACTAATCTTAAGCTCGAGATAACTCACCTGAAGGTCTGTGGTTCGAACCCCAACTAGGCACCTCGACTGCTCCTGTCTGGGCTTAGGCAACCCTTGAGCTCCGTTCGGATGGCATGACACGGAAAGGGTGTTACACACGAAAGGTGATTTTTCTGTTTTCACAGGTACAAAACTCAGATGTGGCTTCTAGCTGGCGAACAAAATTACGATACGTAAACTCATTTCGATGGAGGTGCTTGTCGCTGGGATACTTGCGACAGTTTTTAGTGCCTTACTCTGCGAAACGCAGGGAGATAGTAGATGGAGGCCCATATTTGACTGTTAATTCACTTCGGTTCTTGAAACCAACCTGCACCCGACTTAGGAGGATGTCTTTACAAATGGGTAACCAAGTTAATGCCAACAGCGCAATTTTAAGAAGTGAACTTCGCACTTTAGTTGCTTAAAATCTAAGTAACGCATGACTAAAGTGCTAGCACATCCACTCTCCCCTTGAACTCTTGAAATTCCTCACGGAGTAGAAGTTTTTCAACAGTAACACGCTTCTGATGCCAAAATGTCATGCCGCCCGAAGGAAGCAGGAAGGCTGATATACCTCCAAGTTGCCTAAGCCTACATAGGAGCAGTCGACAGGCGGAGGTTAGGTTCGAACCATGGACAGTTCACTTGCTGATCACCAAGCTCTCTCAAGCTATGGGTCTCCATCCTCTTCGGTGTACGAGCTCGGAGTAGCTGGTTGAAGGAACAGTCAGCTGATAAGTCTGGGTCAGTGGCCTTGTGGATACGGCTTTTAGGAAGTGTGTCTGTTCTTCGAAGAATCAGAAGCTACGTTCGTAATGCACTACTCATAAGGTTGCTGAACATTCTTTGAAACATCACAAACGAGAGATTCAGCTGGGTCTCTTGCAAAACCGAATTGGTTTGCAGATTTTGCTCCACATATGGACTCACTGAAATTCCGGAAAAATGAGAACAGGCTAATATTCGTTTTTGATTGTCCCAACACAGTCAAAGGGACTTAGCTGGGTTGGCTGACGGTGTAATTTTCTGTAGTCAACAGAATGGCACGTCTTCATCAGGTGTTCTGCGACCGACGAGGCCAAGACTGACAACTAAAAGGTTCTGGTTGCATCGGAAGTATCAGATAGTTTAGGCACAACGCACTACTCACATGTTTGCCGAAAACTACTCATTCTTGCGTAGTAGTATATAACGTCCATACAATGTATTGCGATACCTCGACTGTCCTACATGCTAAAACATGGGTCGGTCTTGTGTAGCATATTCAGCTGAAGAAGACCGTCGAAAAAGAGAGATTCCCCGGGAATTCAGGTAAGTCACCCACTTGGCAACAGCAACGAATCCGTATTGAGCTCTTACAGCTTGTGACTTCGGTCCTACACCATGTGACATATCCTAGCAATGACAGAAAGCCCCGGATGTTGTGATATTGTAAAACGCAAATGACTGTCAATGCTAATTCTGGGCTTAATATTGATACCCGGTCTAAAAGGGTCCATAAGCAACGTAGAACGTCAAACCACGGTTAACATTGCTTTCGTAAATATATCGACCGACAATAATGATTCAACGGTTTTTGTCGGTTTCGTTTTTCCATTCCTAATCAAGCTGAAGAAAGAAGAGTGTCTAGTGAGCTTCATCATTACGGAACACCCAATCTACTATCGATGTTTCACACTCCGTGTCGAAACAAAGCCTCCAGTGCCTTCGGGGCCCACCAACGGATTGCGCCTGATCCTTCATCGTGGCCAACCGGAAGCCAATCCTTTGCTGTTGGTCGTTGAAGAAGAACCTGTCATTTTACAGTCTGTCACCTCTAAAGAGGCGTTCAGAGCGAAGGATGGATTCTTCATTACATTTCATGAAAGGGGTACCTTCCCAAATTTCCCAGTTCAGGTGAGATATCACTGTGATGTTTTTTTATTACGGCACTGTGGAAATAAGGAAAAGGGTGGTCCGGATGTCAGAATGAACTCCGTTGATAAGTAAAATCTGTCGTACTACTGGAAAGTTTCTTGATCAATCAAGGACAGCAATCCAAACCACAGACTTCAGGGAGGAACCACACTGGGGCGCTCTGCATGTGACTGAATTGTATTTAGGTAGGACACCGCACCACCATCTTTCAATGCCGCAGCTCACGTCAGGAGGCTGCTTGAACGACAGCTGTTCAGTCTGAGCACTCGCTCGACGTCGCTGTCTTCTCTTTGCACTACTTATATTTCGAAAGTAGGTAGAATATCTTGAAAATTCCGTTGCGGGCTCAAAATTGCCTGGCGGTTTTTGAGGTTCACACTGTTGATAATTTTCAACAAGGACGAAACTGTTGAGATTTAGGTTAACGCCAATTTCGAAGTCATACGGTGACCTTTATTTAAGCACCACAAAATCCTCGGTATTCATGTGCAGACGTAGCCGAACATACGGCAGTAGAAAGTACACATGGGATTCGATAGACTTGTCAACCAGTTATTACCGCTAACCGCCACTTGCCGTCTTCAATCATTTGTGAGACCTAATCACCTGTCGTTTTCTGGAATGAAAGCAGAGCGAGAGTCGCTAAGAAAGTTGTCTATGGGGCATGTGCCACGAATGCGCGGCCATTCATCATCATCATCATATCATCATCATCATCATCATCATCATCATCATCATCATCATCATCATCATCATCATCATCATCATCATCATCATCATCATTC